TTCTGCCATAATTTTTATTTTTTCTCTATTTTTTTATCTTATCTTAATCTCTTCTTAATACTTAAAATATAAACAGTATCACCATCCACCCTTCAAATCCTAATTTCTCAGCATTGCTTCAATTAATTATCTTATTTCTCCATTTATAAAATACATTTCTTATAATCCCCATCACATTTTTGGTTATAAACAATACACTTCATCTTATTCAATTCTTACACTGAAACCCTTTAACTTAATTGATCTTCCACATCTTATCTCTTCTTAATACATAATAAGTGTCTGAAGTGGTAATTAGGTTTAATTATGAAAATAATTGAAATTAAGATACAAAATTGAAATGTAAAAAAAAAGTGTGATGGGGATTTTGAAATAATATGTTGCAAATGAGGAAATAAAATAATGAATGGATGCTATAATAGAAGTCAGGAATTAAGGGTGGAGAATGATATTGCTTATTATATAACCTTTCAATCTTGTAGTTGTACTACAATTCTTCTCCTGAAATCAGGCTAGAAGAAAAGTCCCAGAGAAAGGGGGAAGAACTAGAGAAGGAAAAGATTACTGTCAGAGGCAGCATTGGACTCCACTGTTCATACACAATCTCATACAAACAATGAAATATCCCTGGACAAATTACACATCAATGATGTGAGCAGAAATCTGGCTCAAGCCTGACACTATACAAAGCTAAGCAGGGCATTTTGAATGCATATATTTTTATGGGGATTTGTTTAGATTCAAAATGAGGGAACTGCAAATGTAGCAGGTATAGAAATTTGGAGTCAAATTTGGATTGTACACTGTACAATCTCCTTTGGGGAAAAATAGCAACTTCCAAACATTTTTCTTTCATCAGTTAAGAGCTTTTACCTTTATTTCATGCACGTATTTCATGCAGAATGTGTTTCAGATGAGCTTTCTCCAATCACATGCAGTTTGGGAGAAGCGATAGAGTTATTTAGCAAGGTAGACAATGGAGTTGGAGGAGAATCACAAGAGTCATGGTAACACATTGTCTACTCAGTGAGTACTCTGAGTGAGTACTCATTGAGTGAGTACTTAGTGAGCATACACTATGTATATGCTAAAACATAAATCAATGTTCAGTATTGATTTGTCTTGCTTATTTATAAGGCATATTTAATAAGTCAAATATGTAATAATGTAAGAAACAAATATGGTAAAGTAATATATTACTTGTGGTAAGCATTGCAAATACAAGGACAAGGACATTCTGGTTATTATTTTTACTATGAAAATCCATAATAGTGTTCTTCTTGGAAACAAATAATGCATTTGTAGACTTAAGATTTGTGATGTTTTCATGCAACTTAATTCTTCAGGGATGTTTATTGCTATATTATGAAATTCTTACAGATAGGCAACTCCAGACTTACTAATATATTGTTCTCAGTTGCTGATTAGCTAAAGTGAAGATTGAAGCTTATCAAAGTGAGCTCTTTAATTGCCTTAAGGTTTAATGGTCATAGTACAAAAGAGACCCAAAGACCTTGTGTGGGATTATTTACCCTAGGAAAATTTCTAAAGTTTCTGTTTAATCTCCTTAATGGAATCCATTGTAAAGAAACATTGTGATATGACTATTCTATAAAATTATATAGATAAATAGGTTTAAAACAAATATCTAACTTATGGTGCTAAAAACTTGGGAGAAAATTTATCTAGTGAATGGAGTCATTAATTGCATAATAATAAACTCCCTGAAGTTTATGTATCTTAAACAATATATTTTCCTGGGTCACAAAAATGCAATATCCTTAGTTCCATTTTCCCCCTATATTGTCCACAATACTCTGTACAATCATTTCACATGATATTGAAGTTAAACTATGCAAAATCAGCTAAATTGAATTAACATCAAAAGAACTCTGCTGGAGATCTTAGACCTGCCATTTTGTTTTTACAACAGATAAGACAATGCCTGTGGAAAATTGCTAGATGTGAGTGCCTGGTTTCCAGCAACTGTAAACCAGTAAAAGGTTAGAATATAATGAAAGAAACATCCAGTTAATTTGTCTTGTAGCCACTGATAATTGTTTGCCACTAAATGTTTATTTACCACCAACCTTCCTTTTAAAACTATTCAAATAGATGCCAATCTTTACATTTTCCAGTAGGGAATGCCCAAGTTTAGTAATTTATTATTTGAAAAAATACTTCATTTTGAACATTCTTTCCCATTCAGCTCAATCAGGTGACCTGGGTTTAGTATTTTAGAGAGAAAAATGTCTATACAATGTCTTCATGTCAGACCCAAACATAAAATGTGAGTAAAATGTAATCTCTTTTACTAGCCTTTCAAACACTGCAAACTTTCCTTACATGAATTGTTTTCAATTTCTCAATCATTTCAATTACCATCTTCTATATATTTTTTCCTACAGTATCTTTTCTGAAATGCACTAACTTGAATTGTACACACTTTTTCTACTATAGTTGTGCCACAGAATTTTTGGGAATCATTGGAAATTTTTATCACAGATTTATTTTTCAATTCTTTCCACCCAAGAATCCCCCATTTTTAAGAAAAGCTAAATCCTGAGTAATTTCAAATATAATGTGTGTGATTTCTTGGAGTCCAATCTTGAATAAACACATATAAGAAATCTTAAAGGAAAAGCAGTACTAAATACTTGCAATAGTTTTGGTAACTAACAGGTCAAACTCCTGCCTGCCTGAACTGTTATACAAAACCAAAGAGACCCATGAATGGTTTAGGAACAATTTTTCTATTGTATCAGAACTCTTTCCTTTGTCCTTCCTCCTTCCTGGTCAGTTGTTTGGAGTTGCAATTGTTGCTTAAAATACTGATTTATCATTGACAATCATAACATAAGGTATCTAAATGTGAGTGAATGAACTTCCTTTTTGTCTGTTGAGACTTGAACCTTTGGACTGCTGTGTGGCACTTTATATACTATCTAACCTCAGTAGCGACATTAAAGTATTGGACTGCCATTATTGTATCACAGATCATAAAACTGGGCACAGTCTTATAGAACTAATTAAAATACAACTTTTCAGTGGGATGACCCCACCATTAACTTTTTAATTGGGACATTTTTTAAGCCACTATTGATGACTATAGGTGGTCTTTGGTTAAGGACCACTTATTCAGCAATTATTCAAACTTACAACAATGCTGAATGAATGATATTTATGACTGGTCCTTGAAGTGCTATTGCAGCATCCTGGGAAGGAATGGGGAAGTTGCGGTCACGTAGGGCCCTTACTTAACAACCTCAAGTGATTTCCTTAACAATGGTAACTGGAGACTGCTGAAACTGCCATTGTTAAATGGTTAGTCATGTGATGTTGCACTTTATGACTGTATTGTTTAGTGGCAAAAATTCCACTTCCAATTACTGTTATTAAACAAAGACTACCTGTATAATAAAGCTCATTTAATGGACTCTGATTTAGCAAATTTTGGCAACTGACAAACTGCATATAGACATCATTTCAAACAATAAATTCCATTGTAACCGAAGTAGACTGGATGATTCACATAAATTAATATGATTTAAATAATTATATGTTTATGCAACTGGGACAATTCACATAATTTGCTTGTTTTACATCAAAGTGTAATTATTTGAAGTAGCACAAATTGATGCAAATTATGTCACTTGCATAATTACATAAATGACCTAAAGTGTCTGAAATAATGTACACTCGATTTACAAAGGGATTTAAACTATTTAACATGTTAAATATGATGGAAGTCCCCCTCTTGATATGAACTGTTAACACTGAACTTTTACTGCATACAAATAATTTATTCAACATTGTCAAAATCAGTTTCTTTTAGCAATGATGTCATATCTGAGCTGTTGTGAACTGTTCCATTTTTTTTAAATTTTCCATTCCAGGAAGTGAGTCATAGTAAGGGATAGATGTATAAGCAAAGGGCAATTGTTGGGAAATATTTAACTTAAAATAAATAAAGCACTTGGAATTCTAGGAAACTGCTGCAATATTTTGGCCCAAGCTCATTTCTAAACAGGTTTAACTGTGCAGTTGCTCAAGAAAAAAATTAGATACACTGCTGAAGAATGTGGAAAATTTTTTACAACCAGCTGGTTTCTCCCTAATTATGGCAATAATTGAGTAAAGCCCCTAGCTGGTTCCCCTTGACAATAATAGTAGTGCAATAAATCAAGCAGCTAAAGACACATATTTGTTTATAATTCTGATTATAAGATGCTAAGAATCACTTTTTCAATGGAAAGTTAAATGAACCATAGGTGTTCCCCGATACTATTTTACTGTTCTGTAAGCTGCTCTGGGAGCCTTTTTAGTTGAGAAGTGAATGATTTTTTAAAATAATAACAACAGCTTGGGCAAGTCCATCATTATGTTTTTTTTTCCTGACATCACTGAAGCTATGAGGTTTCAGTTTGTTTGCCCTTGGATACCATTCTGCTATTATATTATTATTTTGTTATTATTTATTCTAGTTCTGTTGGTTTTTGATCCTGCGTTCATTGCCCAGAATTGCAATTATGAGTTGAGGAGGTATATAAATCACCTGACGGATTGCAATCCCTGTAGTCCCATCTTGTCCAACAATCTGTTTTCACAGCAACCTACCAACTTCACAAGGATGTCCATTAGTCTTCCAGCAGATGGCTTTCAGAGGCAGTAACACTACCATCAAAACTAAGAACCATTGATCCCATAACTTCCATGAATTTGTGCAACTCCTTTTTGAGGCCAGCTAACTTGGTAGCCAGTACTATGCATCTTTATTTACATCAAAAGGAAAAGGTTCAGGATAAACATTTTATCCAGCTCTTATCCAGATTAAGAAGGAATTATAGCTTGAGGCTTCAGGCATGAATGCCAGATGTTCTAATGTTGTCATGTTTTTCTTAAATAAATTGAACGAGTAGAAACTAGAGATCTCACATATGAATGCCCATCTATGTAAAACGCAAGTTTTTCCAAAAAACAACAACAGTACACTGAAAATGTATACTAAAACACTGTCCTTTTATTTTGAAGCAAGTAAAGACACTGTCCATTTCTCTCTTTCAAAATTTGATTTCATATTAGTGTATGCATTATACTCACTAGCACTGGAGCAAGGAAACAACTCTCTGGTAAAGTTTTCCAGAACTGATATCAAACAGATTGTGTGTGCCTTGATGAACAAAATGCAAGACTCCATGTAAGACACCTTCACATAGTGCCACAACTGAAAGTCTTGTATATTAAGTGGGTCCTTACGGGCCTGGGGTTATTGATGCAGCTTAGATGCATTTTAAAATTTATCGTTACATTTTCTAAACTCTTAGAAAGGGACAACATAAGATGAATAGCTTCAGGTAGCAATTTATACTTGCCCATTCAGCTATACATTCCACTGAGCTTTATCTGCATTACATTCTGTGCCGTGTCCGTCTTCACTGCTGGTTCAGTTTAGGTTGACTGCATTATCCTATGACTTAATAAAAATATGAACATAGGCAGTTAACGAAGAAAAACAAATCATTACCCTTTCCAACAAAACCCATTACCCTTTCAGTTTGCCAACAAAAGTGCGTATAGTCAAGGCTATGGTTTCCCCAGTTGCAATGTAAGGTTGTGAAAGTTGAACCATAAGGAAGGCTGAGCTCCAAAGAATTGAGGTATTTGAACTATGGTGCTGGAGAAGACTCCTGCGAGTCCCTTGGACTGGAAGGCGACCAAACAGGTCAGTCCTAGAGGAGATCAACTTTGACTGCTCTTTAGAAGGCCAGATCCTGAAGAAACTCAAATATTTTGGCCACCTAATGAGAAGGAACAGCTGTTGACAAAAATAGGATTGCCAACATGATCGCCAACGTCTGATGACGGATATGGCACAAGAAGAAGAAGAATGAGAAGGAAGGACTCACTGGAGAAGAGCCTAATGCTGGGAACGATTGAGGGCAAAAGAAGAAAGGGACGACAGAGAATGAGGTGGCTGGATGGAGTCACTGAAGCAGCTTAAATGGTCTCCGGGGGATGGCAGAGGACAGGAAGACCTGGAGGAAAGCTGTCCATGGGATCGCGATCGGTCGGACACGACTTTGCAACTAACAACAACCACCACCCTGTCCGAGATCATCCCACCGTTTAAAAGTAATCCAACTGCTCGATATAGTCGCCCAATATTCTTATGCGCATGCTCAGTAAAGCTGACGAAGCCTTCTTATTCCAAGTCAGAGGATCGATTGCATTTTTTTTTCCCTTTCATCAGGCCATATCCTTGCGACCACGGCAGCGGAAGCTTCTGCCCTCATTAAAGATGGCTAGGTAAGGAAGTCCCACCCCCTTATTCCTTGCACTATTATCGTGGGTTGGTGACTTCCACTTGCCCGATGGCGGAAGGTGGAACTTCCTGTTCTATTCTGACCCGGGCGCCAGCTTAGTGTGTGTCGAAAACTACGGAGCGGTTGACTGGTGAATGACGATCCGAGTATCGGAAAAGGTGCTCTCATTGCTATTTGGGTTTGTGGGCGGGCATAGAGGAAGGCGATAAAAGCTTGTAGCCGAGGTGAAGAGGAAGGAGAAGAAGGAGAAGAAGAAGAAAGAGAACGATCCGGAGGAAACCCGCCCGGAAACCGCCGTAAGGAAGCTGCCATTGGCCGGAGGATGGAAGCGGAGAAGATGGATGAGAATGAATGGCGATATCACGGGGAGGGCAACAAGAGCCTCGTCGTCTCCCACAGACAGGTAACGGCGCCCAGGGAGGGAGGGGGGGGGCTGCCCGCGCGCTGCCCGCCGTTCGCCTCGCGCTGGTCTCGAGGCGGCGGCCAACGGCTTTCTGGTCTCGGATACCGCTCCGCCCCTCCTCCCTGCGCCTCCCCCCCCCCAGTCTCCCCATGGCTCCGTCTGTGCTCCAGCCGGCGGCCCCACAGTCACGCTAGTCGGCCGGGAGGAGGAAGTCCTGTCAATCCCGGCCGATCCCGGTTCTTCCTGTGTGTGGGGGGGGGGGATCTCCGCCCCCGGCTCTCCCGCTCGGCCCATTAACGTGACTGTGGGATCATCATGCCAGAGAAAGCTTCCCCCCTGCGCCCCTCAGAGTGGCTCAGAGAAACCCCCCCCCAACACCCCCCCCCCCCACACACACATGGCTTGGTGGGAAGTCGCCGGAGAAGCTCTGGCCGCCCGGGCTCTCGCATCCTTTGAACCGATTTTCTGCCTCTTTCCGCGCTCTTGCAAAGGCCGGGTGTGTGTGTGTGTGTTGAAATAATTCAGTTCTACTTTCCCTAAAAGAATGCAGAATTGAAGCAAGATTTGAAACCGGGGGGCAAACTGTCATCTGTTTGAGAAAGGGTTGCCTTGGGTCTCCTTGATAACCAGAGGAACCGCAATAGAGTAGAATAGAATAACAGAGTTGGAAGGGACCTTGTAGGTCATCTAGTCCAACCCCTCCCCCCCCCAAAGCAGGAGACCCTACACCACTTCTGACAGATGGCAGTCTAGCCTCTTCTTGAAAGCTTCCAGTGATGAAGCTCCCACAACTTCTGGAGGCAAGTGATACTCCTGATCCAGATAAAAACGTCTCACCTCCACCCGATGTCTGGAAAGTGAAGTTGTTCTAGTCCGTCATAAATCCAGAGTCCTTAATAATTTTTACCGGAATTCTTCTTGGGAAAAACTCCTAAAGTTGGCGTAGAGATACGAGGCTGAAAGCAAGTCCTTCAAAGCTGAAAGCAAAGTGCCTGAGTCATACTTTTGAAGCAACTGCATTTGCCATCACAAGCTAAATATGTAGGAAAGCAAGCTGCTATGATGTCCTAGGAGAGGCATGACACTATTCAAATGATTTCTTATGTTTGGGTCAAAGTTCCTCTATCCAAAAATATTAATAAAAATACTTTTTATTGAAAAGTCAAAATAATGCACAGGCCCCTGTTGGAAGCTTCGGAGCTTCTGCCATGTCAGGACTTCATTCTTTGGCACCTTCTCCTTTTTTCTTTTAAGAATTAATGTACTGTAGAGGTTAATGTCTTGGCTTAAACAGGCATTTTGCATTTTGTCAAACTACCAAGAATGCTGCGTGACTTTTGACACTTGATTACATCTCAGCTTAAGAGGTAAACTATTTCTTAAATGAGGGGTTAGCCAATAAATAATACGCATTAAAGGATTCCTGGCATTCTTATAATTGTTTCTTTTTTCAAAGACCTTCTTGAAACAAATGTGGGACAAACGTGTACAATGTGGCTTTTGGAATTCTTTCCAGTCCTGTTATCAGCAATCATCTGTAGTTCGTTCTCTGTTACAATGTCTCTCTATGCTCCCCTCATGTTGTATCAGTGTGGGATGTGTGCATTGGGAAACATGGGGCAGGCTGCATATGCTCTGCTCATGTGTCTGGGAAGAAGGAGGGAAGGGCTTAGAATAACAAAGTCACCAATTTTTGGAGCCATTGCCCAGTGGCGTCTCCCTGAGGCTTGCACTGAGGGAACTGTCTGATTTTTTTTTCTCTGTAGAAAAGATTGGCCCAATTTTTGAACCTGATCTTTGGGTTCTATTCTGTTTAGTTTTTGGAGGTTATTGTGTGGATGTACTGATAGAAGGTTTTCCGTATATAAATTTTCTTTCAAATACTCTTGGGTTATAAAGCATAGAAATGTGCTATTTTATGATAACTTTTTTCTCATTGAAAATCACATTACAATGTTATCATTTCTTTGTCAAGTTTTTGAGAGGGGCAAGATAAAACATTCTTGGTAGAGCTGAACCTTGCATCCGATTGTGATTTGTAAAGCCATAGTTTATTTTATTTCATGAACAAACAGATGAAGCCATCATTAGTGAAATTGTTGTGATTAAAACATAGTTTGAGTAATTTGCAAAGCATCCCATGATTTGTGAAGCTGCATCCCCAAGTGGCTATTTGTAATAGTTCCTTGAAACTCTTTACATGGATTGGGAAGGAAATGATAGAAGGAAATGATATAAACAGTGGTTTACCTACTGTATACATTATGAAGATGCATCATGATATAACTAAGATTAATGTTAATGATCAACTAATAGCCAGCATTTAATTTTGGTTATTTTTCTAGTCACAATATAATTTGTATATACATTATTGGGCTTATGTACAGTAATGGAAAATAATTATACCTAGAGACATGTATTTTACAAAGTAATTTGTATTTATTGACATTGGTCCCAATAGCAAAAGAATAGAATAAAAACAAAACCCAAGGGTGTATAGAGTTCGCATTTTATGCTCTAAATGCCTTAAGCTAATTCTGTTCTTTGCTTCATAATAGAGGTCGAACATGCATATTGAAGAGTTCAGAGCAGGTTCTGCTGCTTTTTTTCTCCATTTATTAACCTAACAAATGCCATTTCCTACCAAGAGTATATTTAATTATAGTAGTATAGTATAGTGTAGGAATGACTTCCAACTTCTTGCAGGTTCCTTCTGGGAACCTGACGGGGAATGTGCAAAATGACAATCACACGACTTTAGCTGAATGTAACATTGCTGAAATGGTCAAAATTTTGCCAGGTTTCAATCCTAGGGTATAATGGGATTAATTAACTCACTTGAAGTCCAGAATAAGGATTGTCCTTAAGCACAGTTTACTTATTTTGAACTCTGATTTAGTCACTTGCTGACTGGAACAAGTCATGTTCTGATGATCATCTGAAAGCTGCATGCGGGATAAAATTTATTTCCCTATATTCAATCTAAAAGAAAAGGGATTTATTTTAATCACCTTTATTTAAACTGATAGCAGCCTGTAGGTCAAATTATTAAATCATATTAATTTCACACTTTTTTTTTTACATTCTAGCATTGCATAGTACTACGCTTCTTGAAATTTCTTCCAAACCGAAATAAGGTTAGTTCAATGTTATTTTTTATTATTTTGCTAAAGAGAGATGCTATTTATTTTACATTGTATATGAAAGTAGGACAGTTGTGTGCAATTGCACTGTATAATATCATTTGTTTTCTGACTTTCTAGATAAAAACATAAAATCTTAAACTTGATTAAAATGTAAGCTGAAATATAAGGCTATCAACAGGTACATCTTTTTAACCAATTAATCAATTATATTTTTCGGTTAGTAAATTAACATACAGAATGAAATATTGTTAAAAGTATCTTTTGATAATCCTTAACAAAAAACACATGAACACATGAAATATAGCTTCCATGTTTCTAGAAATATTATTTCACAGTAATTGGTTCAAATGGTTTCACCAAAAGAACCATTTTTAAATCATTGCTATATAGCTTAAGTTATTAGGAAAAGCCTATCTGTATAATCTATAAAAACAATAATCCATTGTTGTTTCAAAGTCTTATACATCTTTACTTCTAGTGAACCAACAAACATTTATAATTTGTGAATAAGCCCAATTCTGCTTTATAAATGTATCTGATCTCAGTGTGAATCATAATAATAATAAAACTTAGAAAATCTCTGCATTGACAAAATTTCCATCCATCAATTTCAAAACGCCATTCTGCTTGGATCTGCCCCTATACTATGCCAATAAATTATGACATACCAGATTCTTGGTATTTGATGCATATGCAGGCCAACACCAGCTAAAGAATTAGCAGCTGTGTTTTCACATTTTGTGATTATAATAAAAAATAGTAATATAATAATTATGACAAGATGATTTTGAAAAACTATAAGAGAAGGAAAACCAATTTGACTATAGTTTGGATTATTACAAGAAGGCATTCAACTCCCTGCCACATGACTGGATAATCAAGTGCCTCAAAATAACAGGAATCAGTAGAAACATCAGAAACTCTGTGCAAAGATCAATGGAACAATGGAAGACATTTACTGGTGAATGGTGATAGACCAGGACATCCTCCAGGCTCAAGAACACTGAAATGAAGAAGAAGATTAGTAGTGAATACACCAGAAGAGTGAAGAAGATTTTAGAATTCAAACTCATTGGTGGAAATAACATCAAGGTGATTAGCACCCCGACAATTCCAGTCATTAAATATCCAGTTGGAATGATGCATTCAACTCAAGCTGAAGCAGAAGCTCTGGACAGGAAGACCAGAAAAATAATGACAATGAATCATGTCCTTCATCCATGCAAGGACATTGACAGGCTCTATTTACCATGGAGCATAAGTGGGGGTGGAATGTTGCAAGTACACTAGACAGTTAAAGGAAGAAAAAAGGACATCGGAAGGACAATGAACAAGGTGCATTGAACATATTATACCATGAAGGCTTACTGAATACCAAAGAGACTAAATTAGCATATAAGAAAGATCAAATGAAGAAGAGAAAAAAATTATGACAAGGCAAAGTATTACATGGCAGTGCATTAAATAACTATTAGGCAAAGCAGATAATAACAATAAAGAATAGTTGCAGCTCAGGGTCAGATAATAAGATCTGGCAATGGCTAAGAGCAGGAAAGTTGAAGAAAGAGACAGAGGGGCTATTTCTCAGTGCAGAAGATCAAACATTAAAAACAGATTCATATAAAGCCAGAATTGGAAAGACAGCAACAGACAGCAAATGTTATCTCTGTAAAGAAGCTGAAGAAGCAGCGGACAACCTAGTTACCTGCTGCAAGGAGATTGCCTAGACTGATTATAAACAACGGCATTCTCTATTGATGGATTGATAGTAAAGTTTCTGATTCAACTGAAATTGGAGATTCTGCCTGTAATGTGCAATTCAAGCTTTGCATCTGCTGATTTTCTTGCCTATGGCTATTATTTGCTGTTTTATTATTTCAAGTGCTTTTTTGATCTTGTCTCTAGACCAGGCCCAGGGAAAATGCACATCTGGCTTGCAGCATTGGCATCAACATTGGAGGGCAGGGTTGTCAGCAGCATTGGGGATGGGATGGCATCAGTGGAGGGAGGGGGCAGTGATGCAGCATCGTTGGGGAGGCAGCACGGCGTCATTGTCCCTCCACAACAGTTCCAGTTTCTCATGTGGCTCTTTGGGAAAATTAATTCTGCTCTAGGTCATATTTCTTGATTAGGTATTGGTCTTGTTCTTCAGTTTCTTTTCTTCCATCTGTTTTAACTTGCTTGCACCTGATCTTATCTCATTTTGATCTTATTTTCCAACCCAACCTTCTATTTTGCTGATGCACCATTTGGTTTATTTCTTGTTGATTGATTTTGCATCCAAGATCTTCAGTTATAATTGCAGCTATGCTGTGTATCAGTTGTTTGGTTTCTTGAAATGAGTTGGTGCTTAACTTTGATATTACAATATTGGCATCATTTATACTCGTGCAGGGAGAGTCACTTTGGTGTAATGGTTAAGAGAAACCAGAAGGTTTTTGAGTTCTAGTTTTAGGCATAAAGCCAGATGGATGACCTTGGGCCAGTCACTTTCTCTCAGGAAGGAGGAAAAACTTTGCTAAGCAAACTGCATGGACTTGTTCAGGCAGTCTCTGAGAATCGGACATGATTGAATTGAAGGAAAAAATCCCTTTGGCTAGCTGTTGTTTGTAACAAGCTTCAAAACAATTAACGTGTTTCCCCAAAAGTAAGACCCTGTCTTATATTTTTTTGAACCCTGAAATAAGCGCTTGGCCTTATTGCCATGCACTCAAATGCCCGATTGGGCTTATTATCAGAGGATGTCTTATTTTGGGGGAAACAGAGTATTTATTTTTAGTCTTTGTATATTTGCAACAGGTAAGCAACTTTTCTTCCAATAGCCCTGCAGATACTGACCTTGGTTGTTCAGCTCCCAGTCCTGAGTCCTGTAACCCACTTATCATCAGATGTGCAGGAAGCCCAACACTTAGCGCTGGCCTTGTTGATCTGGGCTATGACTGATCTGGTTGACAAAATCACCATCAGTCTATTGCAAAGGCAGCTTTACTTGAAACAGCTTATATCTTATGACAATACCTATAATATTATTAATCAGAAATGTCTGAGTATTGGCCATATCATATCTTATACAACTTATCATATCCAATTTCATTTTATTATTTTTGTTACTATTTTCCATACTTTTTTATCTTATCTTAATACTTCTATATTTATTATATAAACAGCATCACCATCTGCCATCAAATCCTAGTTTCTTAACATTATTTCAATTAGTTATCTTATCAATTGTTAACCATATATATTCCCTTTTAACTTTCATATTAAGTCGTTCTTCATCCTAATAAATTTGCACATTCTCGGGGTTGCCTTTTTACCATTTCATCTCCCTTATTTTACAACAATTTTTCTTCTCCTCTCCTCTCTTTCTCTTCCCTCCATTCTTCTAGCCTTTTCTACTTTCATCTTTCCTCCTCTCCTACTCCTTATCTACTTCTTCTTCCTTCCCCCCTTCTCTATTCCTTCTTCTGTTTCTAACCTTCTCTCCTACTCTTATTTCCCCTCCCTTTCTTCCTCTCCTTTTCCCTTTCTTCTATTCCTCTCTCTCCTTCCTCTCTTCTCCTTCTTCCCTGATAAGAGGGTTTCAGTGATGCTAAGCAAGGTTCTGGGCAAAGAACCAGGTAAGACTCTTGATTAAACATAATCAAACAGACTAGAATTCAAAAATATTGAATACTAAAAATGCAAATGTTCAAGTTCAGGTATATTTCCATTATGTTTTTGCATATAATGGCATACTCATTCATTTTTCTTTCTTATAGATTATGCCCAATATATACAGATTTGTAAATCTTACTAAAGCAGTGTAAATAATAATTGTTTCTTGAACAGTTATAAAAAGCCTCCACAATTTCTTTTGAATTCTTAGCTATATATTAAATATATTGCAATTGTAGTTATTGATGTTGTAAGAAAAAAAATAACTAAGATATGCTAAGCACATAACAATCCTAAAACTTAGAATGATTGCTAAGCACTTAAATTTTTAATATGAGAACAGTGCAACAAATAGAAACTATAAAAAGAAGAAGAGAGGAAAAAATAATCCATTGAGAATCTTGCTCACTTGAGGTTGGATTTTGCCCTCTATAAAGGAACTCATGGGCAAGGAAGAAATGAGATGGCTACAGTTTACCAATCTAGAATTCTGTTTAATTGCTCTGTTTCAAAGTTCACTCTCTCATATATTTGGTTCTTCATGTATGTTCCAGTTATAAAACCAATAATAAAGTTCAAAAGGGACCTTTAATTTCATCATTTTATGTTAAGATTCTAAAATAAGTTAGCATTTGTTCAGGCCAGTATTGAAAAAAGAAATTGTCTTGAGGACAGTGCAAAAAGAAAAAGAAAAAAGAGGTTGCTAGATAATGGTTAAGTGCAAGTGGGGAAATGCTCTTAGTTTTCCCATCCAGATATCCATGGCAGTGACATCTTAAGAAACCAAGGTATTTAGATTTTGCTCCTGTACTAGTTTCTCTTTCGGGTTTCATTCATGCTAATTTAAATTTTTAGTAAATTCAAAAACTCAAAAATAATTGGCACCCTTATTTTGTAGGTAAAGGACTTAATTTGACCTTAATTTCTGAAAATCATATAGAAGGCCATATTTCAAATTTGTGCTTATTTTGCTATTTTTTTGATAGGAGAGATCTTCTGTGGCCTGAAGCGCTACAGGTACTAGATTTATCTAAGCACGCAGTTGACTTGGACAAACTGTAAATTTCCAGAAGAGGTGGATTGACAGTGTTTTCAGTGAAACGCTGAGTACTAATGAATGTACTATTTGTCTTGGTGGATGCTATTGTCTCTGTAGGCATGGATCAGTACAAATATGAGGCTGACTTTCCTCTTACAAACATTTCAGAAAAGAATAGCCTCTCTGTTTCTAATGTTAATTACTGCTGTCCTTACTGTGCTAATTGAAAGTGTTTTGTTAAAGGGTATCCTAGCAGACTCTATAAATATAGTTTGGAATGGAGATATTTGTAAATGTGATTTAAGTTGATAGAAGCGGTATAAAGCTCCCGATGTTCTTTAAAAAGCGCAGAACAGATATTCTTTTTGGAGTACTCACAATATTGAGTAATAAAAATTACTGTATTTTTATTTTTTGTTCAGTTTATTTGTCAATTCAGCATAATGATGATCCTTTTGATTAAGATTTAGTGGATTTTGAGTTCTTGCTGAATCCTTAGTCTTAGCCTCTTAAGTTAAATGAAGCAATTATTTTTTCATTGAGCTTCAGAAATGTTACTTATCCACATTTAACCTAGACACACAAAAGCCTGCTAGTATGACATTGACTTCTGTCCATAAAACCAAAACATATATTTATATTTTGAATGTTTACAAAATTTGAAGCTTTCTTATAAAGCCTGTATAAAATCATGTTTGAAGTATTAGTTATGTAATACATTTTACATTCATTTAATTAATCATTTCAGTAAAGTTGCCTAAAGTAGATTCTGTAAGTATTATTCTATTTAAGTAAAATCTCTTTTGGGTTGACTTTCTTGTGATTTCATGGACATATCCATGCTGCTTTTTTAGAAGCAATATGAAAGTGGTTGGCATTGCCTTCATTTGTGAAAAATTTCCACAATGTCTTCAACCTGGAATTCCCTTTGAGATCTTCCCTTGAAATACTACAGTAATTAGGGCCGGTCACACTTCATTTCTGAGTCCAGGCAAGTCTACTGAGGTGTTGCGTCTTCTGAGACATTATTTCATGTACTGCTTGCTTAAGTAGCCAATTAAACACGTTCTCTGTCAAGTAAATACAGCATTTTCACTCTGTGAGGATTGCCCTTTCAGAGGAAATGCTTTGTTTTTGTTTCTTATATTGCATTATCCTTTTGCTATACCTACCATGCTACTCTTATACTAGAGACAGATTTTGTTCACCTTGACTCTTATGTCTTGATCTATTTCAGAATGTCTGAGTTTACATAATTCTGCAGAAGTAAGGCCTGATAGTTACCCAGACTGAAGAATCTGTCTTTATAAGATGAATAGCTGTCATTTTGTTAAAGAATAAAGTACTAAAGAATAAAGTACTGTAGATAAAACTTTTTATAGGAAAGGATTTCTGGAGCCAGGAGCTAGTCTCTAACTCTTATATCGATATATCTGATAAAGAGCTTAATTCAATATTTAGGCAGAAATAGACATTTTATGTAGTTGTATTCAGAATCAAATCATTTAAAATGTTCCATGCAAGGATTGAGCCATACACAGAACAGGCAGTTTTGGGCAATCAAAGACCAGGAAGAAACTTCTGTTTCATATGGACATGGTCATAGAACATATGTGTTCCAGGCACTGGTATTCTGAAATAAGTACAATAAAAAAAAAGATATTAGAGTTTGTATACAGTATGCAATAACTAGGTGGACAAAGGAAAGGCATGGGAAAATAGAGGGAAGAGTGAATGGATGAGTGGGATGGGTAGATGCAGCAGTAGTGGGTGTGCCAGCAGTATGTAAATAAGGAGAGGCAAAAGAAAGGAAGGTGTGGAAATACCAGGTATGAAGTGGGCAGCCAGATGGATATGGTGCATTTGATTCCAAGAACATCAGTGGCAACAGTGATGTACAGCAAAGAAAAAGGAGGGAGTAGAAAAATTGAGTGGGGGGCAGTTGCACAGGCCTACCTTGCAGAGAAAGTGATGGTGAGATGAAGTAGCCTTTCTTCTCTCCTGGTAATGTCTTCTGGATTTGCCTTGGCCAACAGTGCAAATGTTCCAGGTTCCACTTCAGCTGGATAGTGACTTCACTAGGAATAGTCCAGCTGGACCACCTAGCCATAGTGTCCCATGCATGGAACAAAACATATTCTTCGTTTAATATGTTTCTAATTTAGAGCTGATATTACTGAGATGTTAAAGACATCTTCGGGAATTAATTTAAAAGGATTTAAAGAGTGCTCATTAAATCATAATGCTGACCTAAGAATACATGTTGTTAGCTTTTTAAAAATGTATGAGAGAAGCTGCCGATTTAGTTTGCGTTTTCAATAAATAATATTTTTACATCTTAGTTTTTGCCATTTCTTATTCATTTCTTCTTCTATGAATCAGTGATATCTTTGTTTCCTTTGGTTGCCATTGTTACCAAATTGCTACATATATACTACTACATACACTACTACACATATAATATACTACACGTATTATTAGGATGTATAAGTTGTACACCTAGTTTATCAGAAAATGGTCTCTCTTGCACTGAATTATTTGATAGGCAAATAGTAATTGCAGTGTGTTGATTATGTGCATCTAAAATATGTATGTTATAGAGAAATACAATTTGAGAGAAAACTAGTCTTAGTGGTGATGTTAGCTAAAGGTGTGAATGATATTAAAAGTAAATATTTTCTCCTTTGCTGATAAGGAAAAGTAGTGTGATATAAATTTGTATTTGATTTGACAATTAATACAAGGAGTTGTATTCTCTGCACATTTGAAATTGACAATTATTTGATCCATAGTAGTTAGAATTTCTACCAATTACTAATGTATATTTTGTTTCACTAATTATTTATGCTTGCTTTTTTAGACACCAGAAGAAATCTCTCATCATCTTCAGAACATAGTGTATTTTGGCAAACACATCATGAAGCACTTTTTTGGGGAGAAATATGTTCATCATGGGGTAATTATTACTTTATAATTCTTTTTAAATAAGCAGAATTTTTTTCTTGCAATATTTTATCTTTATTTTTTGACAGAAAGAAAAAGTATATAGTTTAACTTGTATTCAGATCAGATATATAGAAGATAGAGCAGTGGCCAAAACTTTTGTTATATACATTCAGAATAGTTGCCCTAAGTTTCCTACAGTAGCAAGAGGAAGAGCGCTTGAATGTGGCTTTTCATGATTCTGCCATTGATCATTTACAGTTATCCCTTTTTTAAGGAATGGGGTAGAAATTGCACATGATAAACTTTTTAAAAATATTGAGATTGTGAGTCATGAAATGATTAGGTGAAAACATTTGTGAATAAAAATATTACCTGTATCTTACTTCTACATGAAAAGGTGTAAGATGTAAATTGGGTATTAATCAAATATAAATAAAAAAACTCTCAGTCATGTAATTGATAAGAACAGAATTCAAAGGACAAGAATGCAGGCTTACCTTATATATTTCCCTCATTATCTTAATATTTATTTATATTGTACTTTCTACCAAGACATGCATTTAAAGCTACTAATAGAAGTAAAATAAAAAACATACAGAATTAAAGCAAATGTTTTAAAGCAAATGTAGGATACATTTTTGTATACATAAATGCACATAAAATGTAGGAACATTAAAATGTTCCTTGGCTTATGTCCATTCATTCAGTGACTGTTCAAAGTTACAGTGATGCTGAAAAAAGTGGACATACGACTGGTCGTATTGCAGCACTCCCATGGCGATGTGATTGCAATCTGGATGTTTATGTGCCTGGGTCACAACTACACAGCCTGCATCCTCCTTCCATGATTTAAGCACAGCCTGTGTCAGTCCTCTTAGGTCGTCCCTCGGCCATTTTGCGGTATCCCCATGTTCCTTTACCCAGGACTCCTGACACTTTCTGTTTAATGACCTGCATCTTTTGGGATTACAAAACTGCTCTGGATTGCCATCACTAATCGCTGCTGTCACATGACGTCACATTTTATTACTACCACTTTCCTTACTTAACCTCCCACATTTCCTTAACTGTCTTTGACTTAGAGCATGTTTTTCTTTTCACCAGACTAACTTTCATTTTATTTTTCTAATTCATTATTGACATCAGATTACAAATCAACTCTCTCCAACATATAAACCTATTCTTGAAGGTATTGTAAAATTGATTTCAATCCTTCTTCAAAAAAGGCTATTTATTAAATATTAAAAAGGAAACAAATACAGAAAACATATTTAAAGTTCACATTTGCTTAAAAAGATACCCTCCTGTGCCACTGCCAGGAAAGGGAGTGGAATTGGGGGACATCTTCTTTAGTCTTGTCCTTTAATTGGAAAGTTGAGTTCAGATGATTCATGCATTTAGTGGCTACTTGCTCTTGACTGATAAACTTGAGGAGCTAAATGTTTTTCAAATTTTGATTGGTTTTGAAATTGTGACCACATAAATATTTAGTAAAGAAGGTTGGGAGACAGATAAAATAATGTTTAGTGTACAAGAAGCATTGGAATCAGGAATTATTGCCAAAGTTAGTAGATATTACTAAGAATATTATGTAACTCGGGGGTGTCAAACTCAAGGCCCAGGGGCTGGATCTGGCCTGTGGGGCCACCCTGGAAACAGCAAAGGACCAGCCTGTGGTGCCTCTGCCAGCGAAAACGGAACTAGGGAGGGCTGCAGGAGGCCCTCCTGAGCTCCGTTTTCACTGGGAGAGAGTTGCAGGAGGCCATTGCAGCCAAAAACGGAGCTTGGGACCCCATTTTTGCTGGCAGAGCACTCAGGCCGCCACAGGTGACCCTGACATGAGTGATGTTGAGCTGGCCATGCCCACCCTGGCCTCCCAAGGTCAAAAACAACCCTGATGCAGCCCTCAATGAAATTGAGTTTGACACTCCTGATATAACTGAAAGAGTTTTTGTATTCCTTTTCTAGGGAGAGTTTGGCAAACAGTATATTATTCAAAGCTGACTATTGAACTGAATTGAACAGAACACTGAACTTTAAGGCAGTATTCTCCCCTTCTCTCTCACCTTTTCACCCAAGGTTCCTCAAGGCATGTTTACTCAGCAATCATCTTTATTTGAAAACATTGTCTCCTTGCTATGCATATATATATATAGCAATTTCTCCTGTAAACATACTTTATTATATACTTTTTAAATTGTTTTATAGGGCAGCTTCAATTATTACTGACTGATATAAAAAAATAACTTAGTTGAATCTGGCAAAATGTTTACTTAGCTACACAGTCACTAAGCAAACCACATGACAGATAAAGAGGGAGGGAGAGAGGGAGGGAGGGAGAGAGAAGAGTGGGAGAGAGAAGATTGCTGGTTGCTCTCATTTAAAGTTCTATCATGCAGCAATGCTAGTGTTACTCTCAGTCTTTACTGTCAGGTGCAAAAATTTGGGTGTAAGTTGGAAAATTGGAAAGTGATTTTTATACATGTTTACTACTTGTTATTACCATTGTATTTGTGAACAATCATTATCCAAGTCAGTTGCTAAATGGGGACTACCTCTATTACACAGCTTACCTATAGCAATAGGAATTACCATCAGTATAATAAAAATATTTAAACACCTTTTAAATCTTTTAGGAAGTTGTCCAGCTGTCTTTGGATTTTGTGAAACAACTTTGCTTAAAGATCCAGGCAGAGAGGCCAGGTAAGAAATTAAAACAATGGCACAGCTATTTGAACATAAAATTGAAACAGTGTTTTCTGAAATTTGGCTCATCTGAACTCATGTGCAAATTGATTCAGTTTTCTTTAAAAAAAGTACAGAAGTGTGGTTTGCCCTTGTCTTCTAGGTTTTTTTTTTCAATTTCCCAATCTCGTTTATTGCCTTGTTATTCCCTTGAAATCTTCCATACAAGGATTATTACTATCGCTGAATAAGAAAATTAGCTTTATGTAGATTATAACCACATGATTCTTGTCTTGTATTTAGCCCCAAAATCTTTAATGATGTAATTAAATCATGGGACAAACAGATCTTGCTTATGTAATTAATTGTTCAGTTTTTAGAATAAACATTGGTGTTGCCTTCAGTACTGGTAGACCTCAACTTATAATCATTCTTTTAGCAACTTTTCAAAATAATAATGGCACTGAAAGAAGTGACTTACAACCAATCCTTGCAGTTAATGACCATTGCAGCATCCTTGTCATTAGTGCTCAACATTTGGGTGTTTGACAACTGACATGTACTTACAATGGCTGCATATGATTGCCACTTGCGACCTTCCTAGCCAGCTTCCAACAAGCAAAGTCAATGGGGGAAGCCACATTCACTTAATGACCATATGATTCACTTAACAACTGCATTGATTGGCTTAATAAACACGGCAAAAATAGTCATAAAATTGGACATGACACACTTAAGAATCAGCATGCTTACCAATGGAAATTGTAGTCTCAGTTGTGGTCATAAGTCAAGGACTACCTATAATCTTTTCCTATAGTGGAGCTAAGCAAACTGAGATTTCAGAACTGTATATTGCCTTCTGAAACTCAGTTCTTGAATCCCTCCAGAAATTGCTAACAAATTTTAGTTAATGTGTTGTATGGAACAATAAGGTAAATTATATTTAGTGTAATTTTAATTCAACACAAGTTGAATTATGCCAAATTCAGCCTTTGTTCTCAAACTAAATTTTTGGAGTTTTTTTTTAATTTGATTTATATGCCGCCCTTCTCCCGAGACTCATGGCGGCTTACAATGCGTTAAGCAATAGCCTTCATTCTTTTGTATATTTATACAAAGTCAGCTTATTGCCCCCACAAACTGGGTCCTCATTTTACCTACCTTAGAAAGGGTGGAAGGCTGAGTCAACCTTGAGCCTGGTGAGATTTGAACTTGCAATAATTGCAGGCAGCTGATGTTAATAACAGTGCTTTAATCTGCTGCGCCACCAGGGCTCTATAGGGGCACCAGTTTGCCCCTATAAGGCCTCTTAGCTGCCATGTATGTTCCTGAAAATGTTTGTGTAGCTTGATCTATTCACACACACACACGTCTAGATACTTGTATACATTGGCTTCTCTTTTCCCCTTCTGTCCCTCATTTTATGTTGGAATTGGATTTTCCATTGTTATTGAGTGTTGAACACATAATTAACTTGGACACAAATACTTCATTGTGGTTGTAATTGTGAATATACAGATCCCTCAGACATAAAAGCCTCTATTTTAGAGTTTTCAGGTGGTATCTATGGAAAGTTATTCAGGACAATAAAAGCATCAGGACAAAAGTTATTGAGGCAAAAAAGGCCATCAAATATGTAAATAGTACATTTCCTCTTCTCAGAATAACTTGCCTTTTTAAAAGAGAAAAATGTAGCAGTATAATGGTATATTGTTTGATGCTAAAGCTGGTTCAACTTGTATTTGGTTGCAAAATAATAGAAAATCCAACACAGGCTTTGCTGCAACAGGAAGTACATCTCTTAAATATTTTCCCCAAAGTTGAGTCAAAATTTCTTTAGTTAATGGGGTATCATTTATTTGTACCTATTATATTTTTTGATTGAATAATTAACATCTCTTACAGCTAATACTGTAAGAGGGATGCAGTGGCTCAGTGGTTAAGATGCTGAGCTTGTCGATCAAAAGGTTGGCAGTTCAGCGGTTTGAATCCCTGGCACCGTGTAATGGGGTAAGCTCCCGTTACTTGTCCCAGCTTCTGCCAACCTAGCAGTTCGAAAGCACGTAAAAAATGCAAGTAGAAAAGTAGGGACCAACTTTGGTGGGAAGGTAACAGCGTTCCGTGCGCCTTTGGCCTTTAGTCATGCCGGCCACATGACCACAGAGACGTCTTTGGACAACGCTGGCTCTTCGCTTTGAAACGGAGATGAGCACCGCCCTCTAGAGTCGGGAACGACTAGCACATATGTGCGAGGGGAACATTTACTTTTATAGCTAATACATTGCATATTTGATACTATGTATAGCACAGATTATTTTTTATTTCTGTTTTTACATTAAGTTGACACCTTTCTCCAGCATAGTATAAATCAAAGATTCTCCTGACTTGAGTTTGATTGTTTGTGATTAAATAAACATGTCTATATTGGTTGTTTGGTATCAGTATGGAAGTGATCTACTACTGCCTTCTTTTTAATCGGCCCCTCCTCCAGCTTTCCTATAAATGTAGGATTTCCTAGTCTTCCATTCCAGACTTAATCAGGGCTGAATTGATTAATCATTTAAACTTTTACAAATCACCCAGGATTGATTAGAAGTTACTTATTTACTTTTGAAACAGGTTGATAATTCAAACCTTCTTGACATGTAAGCCTATCTACAGTGCAGCCAATATTCATATCATGATTCCAAATCCAACATAAATTTTAAGATCTTGTATTTTTCAAATAATTACTTCTGAGAATTTTTCAACACAATTGCTGGAACACTTATATAATTGAACAAAATAATATCCGATTACTTTTCCCCAAGAGTTCTTACAATTTTTATTGAACTTGAATAAAAGACAAATATGAAAACATGAATAAAAAGTAAAATGCAAATAGCATTCAACTTAGAAATGCATTTGATTGAAATTTGTTTTGGCAGTTTGGGGAAGGTAATAACAAGTCTCCTGTATTGAATAGCATGGAAAGTTTATGTGTGTTGAGCACAATAGTAGGTTCTGTGTTTGTATTCCACCCTTCCTTCCTTGAAAGAGTTCAAAGCAGAAGTTATATTCTCTCAACTATTTCTATGAATCTGTGCTTATTTGGTAATTTGTAGAGATTTCATTGTGGGTTTCCCATATTGAAACCCAGTAATGACACTATTAACTACAGGAGGTTTTTTTTCTCAAATAAAAAAAATATTGAAATGCCAATGGCTTATTGTTGTTTAGCTATTTTAAAACTATCAAGAGAGGAATGATGTTTGCCATGTTTTCTAAAAATCTTTCTCAGTTAATATCCTTTTTCTTTAGAATCACGCTGTGATAAAGAGATGGATGCTCTTAGTGGTTATGCTTTGTGCCTTCCTAATCTCACCAGGATGCATTTTGTTGAACATCGACCTAAACTTTGTATAGAAATTAAGGTGAGTACATCAAGAATTTGATACAATCAATACTTTGTGTTCACATTGTTGCTTTTATACCCTTTAATTTTATTAGCAGAATGAAATGTTAAACAATGTAGAAACATAATTTCAATGTTTTGTTTCCATTAGAGGAAGTAACTATAAAAGATGAAATGGCATTTTGCAATTTACTTAAAATCATAGAAAGTTTTGAAGCCCATTTTAATCAGGCATAATTTTTTAAAATAGAACTATAATGTAGGCCACTTTGTATACCCGTCCTGATGGCTACTTCTCACAAGGGAGATAGAATGAAACAGTGTTGTTAGAGTGATTTTGTTACAGTATTCCTCCTTAATGACATCAAATATATTGAAATTCTTCTTCTTTTTGGGTGGCACTTATGCAGATTTAAATGTTTGAAAATTTGAACAGTTAAAAGTGTTATAGCCATTTAGATTTATGCCAAATAATTAAGTAATACTTCTGGGAATGCATCAATCATTTTGTAGCAAGAGTAAAATAAATATTTCTGTTCTTTGTGTGTCTTAGAAAGTTTGTGTACTGCTTTTTATAAGAGTTCGCTGAAAGGCTGAAAGATCCTAAAAACCTTACGTTATTGGGAGTGAATGGGGGAGGGGGTTGGTATTACTTTTAAATACAAAGCAAAGATGTCCTAAATTTTAAACTGCACTTTTTCTTGCAGCCAAAATGTGGGTTTCTCCCCTTTTCCAGTCATGTTTCACAAGATATAAAATATAAAGTTTGTCGTTACTGCATGCACCAGCATCTAAAGGTAATGTACAACTTAAGTGGATTGTAAGCTTTTGATAGAGTGGAATTAATACTCCATTTGAATATGGTACACATGATTATGTATAAGTCAAAACTCATTCCTTTTTCAGTTGTGAAGGCCATTTTATTTACATTAATCTACACTGGCATGTAAATGGAGGGAAATGCTTTTGTTGGGAAAAGTGTGAAGAAGCAGAATGTTAGAGATTGTAACTTTCTTAAGCTGGGAGGTCAGGGAAACTAAAGGCATGAGTAAGTATCTGGAGATATTGATGAACTCCCAGCTTGAACAGTTCTGGAAATTAAATTAATTGGAAATTCGAGAAATAAATGAATGCATATTTAGGAAGTCATATGTTCTGTTTGTCAACAGGTAGCAAAAGGAAAATGGAAACATCTAAGTAAATATTGTCCGCTAGATCTATTCTCAGGGTAAGAAAGTATATATCTTATTTTTAATGTATATTTCCTTCATTGAGCTGTTATTCTTCCTACTTATTTTAAAAAGTTATGCTGCTATATGAAATTTTAACAACGTTACTCATAACATGGAAAGTTTCTGTCTGTTAATCAGTACAGAGCTGCATGATATATACAGTTAAGGTTATAGAAAGAAGCTAATAATGTGGTAGTTGGAAAAATAATTGGAACAATTTTCAGGAAAAAAATGTGGAAAATATGGGTCTTACAAATAGCTTCTAAGTAGAACTGTCTTAAGTATTAGAGTGGAGAATAGTTCCAGTCATAAGGTCATAGAGTTAGAAATAAAATATATGTTTGAAAGTAGATCAGATAAATCAGAGTGAACAAGTTTATTTTAGTTATAGATTGATTACACTTCGTTTTAAATATTGTTTTTTTTATATTTTAGAAATAAACAGCGAATGCACTTTGCCTTGAGAAGCCTATTATATGAAGCACAGAATAATTTAAAAATATTTAAGGTAAGGTGCTCTGAATTTTTCAGGGAAGCTTTTCTTCATCCAGCCTACTTCACTTTCTTATTTTTGTTCTAATGTGCTTAATTAGGAAGCAGCTTCTGAAAGTCCAAGCTCCCATCTCCATGATTTAAATAAAACCGCAATCAACACTTTGCTTACTGGGCAAATTACTTACACTGATGTTGTTTGAAATAATCCTTTTCCCTTTTTTTATTTTCTGAAAATAATTCAGAAATATGCTTAATGAACATGATTTGGAAGTTTAAAGTAGAGAAATGCTATAGATGGGGAAGAGTGAATTGAGTCTGCAAATTGGACAGAAGTATAAAAAATGATAGATCTGGTTGAGAATTACGAAGCTCATTTAAGAAAGCATACACTAGTTAGAAGCTGTAATTAGCATACATTTTTGGAAGTCTATATGCCTCTTTGTGACAGTCTTGGATTAAAGTTGAGCAGCGATCAGTTACATCATGTTAGCATTTCTATAATCCTTTGGAAGACACAGACATCAAAGATTAGACATACTAGCCTTCTTCTTTGGGTTTTTTTTTTAAATAAAGAAGTACTACAAGAAACTAAGTTACATATACAACATTGCTTCAGGTCTTTGAAGTCCAGCATTTAGATGCAAGTTGATTACTAGTGTAACCAGCCTCTTTTCATTCCAGTTGATCCTGTCTCAACTGGGATCTCACAAATCCCACTACAATTTGTGTGACTTGATTTGTTAGGGTTGAATATGCTAGCCTAGCTTCCATTATCTTCTGCTGTGGAAGGCTGGGATCTACAAAGTATCACTGTGCTTCTTTGATGGAGTAATTCCCTCCTGTCATTTTTTTCAAGGTTTGGAGGGTCCTGCTTCATTCTCCGTTCACTTTCCTTGCATCTTCCAGATCAGTTTCAGTCCCCCAATTTCTGTGCTGTTCTTCAACCAGCTGTAGTAGCAATAGCAATAGCATTTAGACTTATATACTGCCCCATAGTGCATTACAGCACTCTCTGGGCAGTTTACAGTATTTGCATATTGCCCCCAATAGTCTGGCTCTTCATTTTACCAACCTCGGAAAGATGGAAAGATGGGTCAACTTTGTGCCGTGTCAGATCAAACTCCAGGCTGTGGGCAGAGTTTGCCTGCAACGCTGCATATACCCACTGTGTCACAGGGCTCTTGTTTATATCTAATAGTGAATGAATGCCTGATGAACATCAGTCTCCATTTCTGATCAAATTGTTGCTGGTTGGCAGTCCCATTTCCTCCTCCTCCATAAGATGGATGAAATCAGTGTAACAATCTCTAGCATTTGCAGACCTACATTCATATTCAGAAGGATTTTTTCATTCCAATATTGGTTGATTTCAGTCTACAGCTCTTAATGATTTTTTCCCTTTTGTAAATTACATCTTAATTTTTATATCTAGTATTGGAACAAGAAATCTATAGAGACTTTGATAGCTGTTCTTTGCTGTGATTAGGGAAGAAAGAAATATGATGAAAGCAGTGAATTCGGCAGGGTCTTAAAACTTTCTCTCTACTTGCTGCTTTCATTTTCCAAATCATGTATTTCTCCTGCTTCATGTAATTTGTCTTGATGATCAAGTAGTTAAATAGGGATCTATTATTTATCACTGAGTAAAAGCTTGATCAAGTAGTTTCCAATTAAGAATTACTTACTCTCACCTCTTCAGTTGCAAGATGCATTATCACACACTAATTTTAATTCAGATTGCCCTAACATATGTATATAGCAGTACCCGTATTTTTCGGACTATAAGACGCACCTAGCTTTTGGGGAGAAAAACAAGAAAAAAAAATCTGCCTCTGCCTCCCAGAAAATTGCCTCCTTGCAACAAACAGCAAACAGCCTGATCAGGTTCAGCACAGCCTGATTTAGCACGAGCAGCTGATGGGTGGTTGGTCTGTCTCCCGGAATATCACCCATCAGCTGTTCCAAGCTGCGGGGATTGCCATTGCCCATCGCCACTGTCAACGCCCATCGTCAGTGCCGCCTATTGCCGCCTCTGCACGCCCCATTTTTGGCCTCCTCGCATCCCGTTTTTGGCCTCTGCGTGCCCCATTTTTGGCCTTTGCATGTCCCATTTTCGGCTGGTTCCAGGTGGCGGAGATAAGTGGCAGAGGCTGCAATAGACTGCAGGGGTGTTATTCATCGATCATTTCCCCCAAGTTTAGACCTTTATTCAAATCTGTTTTGCTCCTTTCTTATAGTTTCACGAACACACATTTCTTTCCCCCCCTTTATTAATTTATGTATTTCACATTTATTCTTCTTGTATTTTGAGTTGCAAAATCTATACAGTACAGTACTAGATCATCACCTATAGATATCAAGCTCCAGTGCTTATCATGGCTTTGTTCAACTGAGGCTTTCAGATAGAAAAAATGTAGACTAAATTACCAGCAATAGTCACCATCTGCAGCATACTCTTATAATGGTATGATCAGGACCAGTTAAGTTTTTCACATATTGGCTAATATGCTGTGATTTTAAAAAAATCTAGTTTTACCTCCAAATAAACTCGTGCTATTTTATGCAAGCTAGGTTCTTAATTTAGAGACTATCTTGCAAGCCAAGTTATTGTTCTTTGCATCCCACCTATGAAGTACAGGGGGTATAATCAGAAAGTATAGTTGGGATATCCCTTTTGCAACAGTTGAATTATTTTTGTTACTATTTTAAAGGTATTAATTAACTTCCTTTCTTTTACAGAATGGTGAATTAATTTATGGCTGCAAAGATAATGAGGATTCGCTCTCAGATTTGAATGAACTTGCTTGCCACCTGAAACCTTTCTTCTTTCCTTCAAATGGCCTGGTCAGTGGGCCTCATTGTACAAGGACAATTCTGAAAGAGTTGATCCATGTAATAACAACGATTCTACTGAGTAATACAGATACCTGTAAAGCAGGTGATTTGAAGACAGTTCCCAGCTCACAAGGAAGGAGCTATTGCGAAGCCAGTGCTTTCGGTAAAGAGCTAGTGCGGAATGGTAAGAATTTTTGTGCCTTTTTTTTTTTTAATTTGATTTATATGCCGCCCTTCTCTGGAGACTCAGGGCGGCTTACAATGCGTTAAGCAACAGCCTTCATACTTTTGTATATTTATACAAAGTCAGCTTATTGCCCCACAAACTGGGTCCTCATTTTACTTACCTTAAAAAGGATGGAAGGCTGAGTCAACCTTGAGCCTGGTGAGATTCGAACTTACAGTAATTGCAGACAGCTGGTGTTAATCACAATGCTTTTAGTCTGCTGAGCCACCAGGCCCTAAATGTTTACCAGGCCCTAAACATTTTCTAAATGTTCTAAGAACATTTTCCACAAATTCTGAACGAACTTAGACAATGTTTTACAATATGCTATTTAGGATCATTTTGTAAAACCTTCTCTCGTATAGGGAAATGCCAATACAAATCTGATGTCACAGTTTCTCTGTTGGAAGATTTCTTTCAAAGTAGAGCAAGGAACTGAATTGCAAAGTTTCTTTTTCCAGTTTTTGACATCTGTGTTTTTATAATAGAAGGATCACACTTCGATTCTCTGCTGTTTTTGGTCAGAGATTGATATATCCATTGTAAAAACTGTTTAAAACTTATTCTTTTTAGCTAAAAACAAAATAGAGACTTCTGGCTTGCCAAAGGGATGCCTCCTTTACAAAACACTTCAGGCTCAAATGCTGGATACACTGGATATAGAAGGGGTTTATCCTTTGTACAACAGAGTTGAACAATATTTGGAAGAGTTTCCCAAAGAGAGGTAAGTGATACTGGGTTTCAGATCAGCAAATTAGTATGGTCAGAGGAGACCTAAGTATGCAGCACCTCTTAAAAACAATAGTATCTTAACCCCTCTCAGTCTTAGAGTATGACTTTATACTTAAGAGTTAGTATAGCGGAAGCTCCCAGTGTTGACTTTAAAATGCCTTTTTCCTGTTTGGCTACTTGTTTGGAACTCATTGTGTGCCGAGACTCTGGCTCATTAAATCCTTTAGAACTCAAAATGTGTAGCATCTTGATGCTGGTTTAGGTCCAGAGCTCAAACCTTTGAGAATGACCTTGTCACCTGACCCTAAACTGTACTATCCAGTTATGTCTACAAATATACAGTATCCAACTATAGTATCGCTGCTAAGTCTAAAATTTGTATCCTAAAATCCCCAAATTTAGTAGTTTTGTTATAATGAGGCTCTGATTTCTCTATTAGCAAAGTAAAAAATAGAAATTGGAGTTTCAATCCCAAAATAGCTTTTTTCCTGACATATCTAAATCAAAAACTAAAAATTTTAACCTTTTTGGGGGGTGCCTTCTTCCTTCAGTTTTATTTAACAACTGTCAAAAAACACTGCAAAGTGTTTATTATTCTAATTGATTTTAAGAATTAAGGTTTCTGCATTTTTCAAAGAAAATTATGGCTGTCTGGTTTCCTTTAGTTGCAGTTCTTCAAAAATGAAAACTATCCTTGCTATTTATAAATATTGTATTTTTCACATGCTCAAATCATATAGGCAATATGCCTAAACTTTAAAGAAAATGAGAATGACAATAGATCTGATGTAGGAAGAGTATTTGTTTCCAGTCATTGGTGACTTATCAACCATATTGAGCAAACATCACAGTACAAAATCTACTTTAAAAAAAAAATGCATTTTTTTCTTTTTTGTTTATATGCTTTATTTACTTTGTTCAAATTTTATATTATAAATAATTTGGTCGAAATTCATTCATGTATTCATTTATTTAAAATAAGGCTACCCAACTCCCAGTGACCCTGATGGCATATAAATTAAAAATGAAATAGCCTAAGTATACTTTTCAAGAATTTAGAACTTCTTGGAGTAGAACTGTGGTACATATTTTATGCAGTACAGTGTATATGGAAAGTCTGCATACCCCTGTTAAAATGCCAGGTTTTTGAGATGTAAAAAAAATCAGACCAAGATAAATCACTTCAATTTTTTTCCATCTTTCACATAACAGATAAGCTGTACAATTCAATTGAAAAAGAAACTGAAATCTTTTAGGGGGGAAAATAATAGATCTATCTTGGTCTGATTTTTTTGAATCTTAAAACTTGGCATTTTAACAACGGTTTGTAGACTTTCTACATACACTGTACATATTTTGCTTATAGTATTAATAGTTATATGCTGTACACTTTTGGGGAACAAAATAATTCAAAATAAACCAGGGGGAGGCATTGGTTAAGTAAGCTATAATATGAAGAAGAAACATATTAAGAAAATCTAATAGAGGATTCTTCTTCCTTAAAAACTCAGTGAGATCTGAGGATATTCAATGAACATGGAATGCTAGTTTATGATTAAATGTGGGAAGTAGGGTGGTAAGAACCTTCAACCTTGAAAATAGCATAGCAGGAACCTTTATTGCAGTCATTCGACAAAACAATCTTTTGCAGTCATTATGTCACTGCAAAACCAAAGGCAAAATATTTATTTTGGAGAGTTCTTAGTTTGCGGTGTTGCTTTCTTCAGTGTCTCATGTAATTTTAGGCAGCGGTCACTAGAGGGGACAGTAGCCTCAATTGTGACACACTTGAACTGTGGGAGCTGTGCTAAAGAAATAGCAACTGAAATAAGTTTGTTGCTGTTGTTTCATTATGCAGAAATCTGTTTGCTTTCAGTTCTGGGTCTCTGCATTTTACTTTATTTTCTGAATGTATTTTTTAGGAACGTACTACAGATTGATGGGCCTTATAATGAATCATTCTATGAGAAATTATTAGATCGCTCAAGTGAGGATGATGGAACAATAGCATATGCGTTGGCAAAGGTACCTTATTTTGACAAGACAACCTCAGTTCTTTTAATCAAGTTCTTTAAATCAATCATATATATACAATTGTACATATTTACAATTTCGTGTGCAAAAGCATCATGCTTTTGCTAAAGACACAGGAAGATTACAATGTAGCATGATGGAACTAAACTAAAGTTAGTAGCATACTGTATATTGTCCTTTGGAAAATAGAAACAACACAGATGCCTTGTTGAGCTATCGCTGTCTACTAACACCAACACCAGTTACCCTCTTCAACAAAATACTGTGGGATAAAGCGGAGGAAATTAAAAGACCATCTAGGCATGTACTCTTGATTTTGTATTGTGTGTAATACTTTTATTTCCATTTCAATTTAATCCTATCCTTGTGTAAGCTTTTACTGCATTTACTTTCAAATATTGTATTGTTTTGAGAATATAAATATATCAAATAAAATTGAGATAGAAATATGTTTAATAACCTCTATTCACAAGAAGCAACATACTGAACCTTTTGCATTAAAACCATATTTTTTTTCTGTAATTAGTTTTTCCTAACTGAACTTACAATGTAGTTTTCCTTAAATAGGGTAATAGCTACACACACATACACACATAGGTATATATACACTGGATAGCGTAGTTGTTAAAGTGACACCCTTTGAGAGACTGGAGTCCAAATCCCAGCTGGCACCTACTTAACCCTAACCCTTAAAGCTTCACCAGTTTATCTCAAATTTTAAAGTGAGAAGAACTAGGAGAGTTGTGTCTGTTCGGATGTCACCCAGATTAACAAGGTCCACTGGAAAGTACCAGAGTCTGAAAGAGGAACTAGAGAGGATGTGGAAACTAAACACCAGTGGTCCCAGTGGTAGTAGAGGCACTCAGGATTGTGATTCCTAAGTGGGGAGAGTAGCTCCAATAAAACCAAGGAGCGACATCAGAGCTCTCTGTCCAGAAGAATGTAGTGCTAGGAACAGCTGAAATACTGCTCAGAACCCTCAAACTCCCAGGCCTCTGATAGATGATCTGAGATTGAGGAAGATACAAACTACCCATAAGGGTGAGAAGGGTTTTTTTGTGATTAGATAGGTGATAGCTAGATGATTAGATAGACAGACAGACAGACAATAAGAGAAGGATGGCTGGCTGGATGGACGCAATTTTTCAGTTCTTGTTGCCTGGTAGATGACTATAGACTTGATTTTTGTTACAGGTTCAGCAGTACAGAGTTGCAATGACAGCAAAGGACTGTTCCATAATGATTGTGCTTTCACCTTGTCAACAAGATGAATGGTAATGTCTAAGATAATTTTTTTATTTTTAAAAAACCCAATATTTATCTGTCTATAAGTATCAATTCAGAAAGTGCTGAATTAGCTCACTGCCTATATTGATAGTAATCCTCCACACAGGAAAGGTAGAAAGTAAGTAACATGAGTGAGGATTACTGCTCACGTCCTTTCCTCCCTGCAATGTAGCAGTATCCCTGCCCACCCTCTGGGACTGAGGTGGCAGTAGAGTCCCCCAGGTTTATGGTTCTAGGGTATTTCAGTCTGCCATCTCTGATCCCAGGGTTAGAGATAGTACATGGAGGTTCACAGCCTCCATGGTAGCCATTAACCTGGACCAACTAATTCATGGCCCTACTCACATGGGGTCACACAGGGATATTGGAATTTTGTGAGATTTAGCAATCTTTAGAATGATGGCCATTAATTTTAGCACATCATAGAAGCCCTGGTTCTTGATGGCTGCCATGTTTCAGCTGATGTCTTAAGAGTTGCACAGTGGAAAGATGAACTCTCCTCAAAAACCTTTGTTTGATATCTGGATAAAAGGTAGTGATTCTGCTCTGCAGCTTTTCAAGAGGAAATATATATTTTTTGTATGCAAAGTACAGTTTCACTTAAATTCAGATGTTTCATTATCCAAATTGGGTAATGTCATCAGTGCTAGCATCAGTGCTAGTTGGGTTAATCAAATGTCTTCAAGAAAACAACCAAGCTCGGAGAGCACCAAGGACCCCTCATTTCAATCCTGAACTATAAATATTCTCATTTACTGGTATTATTTATAGTCCATTGCATACATAGATGTAAGTTTTTATATCTCTGTGTGTGCAATAATCTGAAGGAAATGGAAGAAATATAAAATTAGAAATGTTTATCTGCATATTCACCTTTGATTTAAACACAATCACATTATTAAAAATTAAGATTATATTTATTTCTACTGTTTATATACTTCGTTTGAAGAGGTTCCAAGTGGTGTACTAAAAGAGCAACAGTAAAACAATAGTGCATAAATATCAACAGTAAGCATTCATAAGAATTGAGCCATTTGTATGTCAGAGCCAATAAAAGCAAAACCAATCAGCCTCTAAGAGCCTTCTGAAACAAGCAAGCTTTATCAAGCTTTCTGAAGGCCGTGAGTGGGACTCACCCTTCCCTTGGGAGGGATTAAGACCCCACGATGAGTACCTGCTTTTATGCCCCTTCCTATTGAGCTTCACAGTAATTAGGGACCTCATTTGGACCAAGTGGACAAAATCTGTCTGGAAAAGATAAAGAGTCATGTCCCCTAGTTTTGAGCCATTTACAACTTTATACTTGGAACACACCAGCAACCAATGTAGCTCTCACAGCAGTGGTGTTATATTGCAGACATGAGAAGTGCTTGGTTTTTCAATCTAGTTTGTATTATTGCTACTACTGTAAATTTTGAAGTCTAGACATTCAAAACATGGGAAGTACCTCTGGAATTGGTATTAGCAGTCAAGTTGCTTTCTGGGGGTGTAATTATTAATTGTATGTTTTCAAACTGCTAAATTTTGGAAGCACATGAATAGGAAAATTGGCATATTTCCTGTCCTGTATAACAGTAACAGAAATAGTGTCTTTACTTTCCAAAGAACTTTAGAAACAGTCAATTCCAACAACATGAGAAATTCCAAGATATAATTTCAATAATAGATGCAAAGTTGTGTACGTTGCTGTGTTCACAAATGCCTAGGTCTTTATTCAAGTTTAGAATATAGATGCATTTATTAGAGAATCAGAATAACTTTCTTTATTCCTAGGTTGTCAGTGACAAAATAAGCTATGTGAAAATTGCTACTTTAAGATAAGCTTATGGTTAACCTCTCATGTAATTTATTCACAAAGCAGTACTGAAAGCAATAATCATTTAGGAAAGTTTGAAATAAAATGGTAGGAAAAGTTTCAAACAAATTTTTGTACATTTCCTACTGGAAAAGCTGTATTTTACTTAAAACCACAAGTACTTTTAAAATGCAACATCAGCTATAGCTTGTCACCATTAGGATATAGGTAGAATTCTCATATATGAGGATGAACAGAAAAAGATGGTTTTTCCCTCTCTGGAATACCAAATCGTAATTATTGTTCTTATTTAAATTTCAGCTCTGAGCAGAGGCCAGTGGTTCTAACATCAAAATCGAGATTTACCTTTTCAGTTTCTGTCCTGGATTTAGACCTGAAGCCATATGAAAGCATTCGTCATCAATATAAGCTTGATGGGAAGATAGTGAACTATTATCTGAAGAGGACACAAGCCAAAGACGACTCAGTAATGTCAAATCTTTTAAAAGAAAATGAAGACTGCACACTAGTCCTCCATAAAATGTAACTGGCTAAATATTTAACACAGAGGAAGATTAAGTTATGTTTTTTTTATTATTATTTTCAGTTGTGCTTTCAATTTATCTACCTTTCAGAAACACAAAAAAACCCCGAGATTGCCTTGAAGAATGCATTTATTGTAAGAGACATGTGACATGTACTATTAGTTTGAATGAAATGACTATTCTATGACTGTAGAAGAGAATTTGATTATTCAAATGCAGAAAACCAGTATCCTTATTAAAATTCTAAATGCAGCTATAACTATATATGAATCACTAAGTATCACTTGTTTAAAATAAATGAGGTGATCTGATCAAATTCCAAAAATCTTGATTAGAAATAATTCTAGATTAATGCTTCTTAGACTGCTGCTTGCATATGTATTGTCTCTTATGTTCAAAGTGATCTTATGTAGTTGTTCTCCGAATTGTTCAAAACTTATTAAAAAGATTTAATGTATAAAGAACCCCCCCTTTCTTGAATAATGATAAAAACAATGAAAGCAAATTAGCTCCCTTATTAAACAGGAGGTTTTAGAAATTATGTAATGTAAACAGTTACTATTACAATTAACCATTTTCAGCAATTCTTTGCTGCATATGCCTCATTAATATTTAGATGCCTCATTAATATCCTTTTCAGTTGCCTGGGCCATTCTGAGGCTTCAATGGGTAACAATTGAGAAGTTCAAAATATTGCCATAAATTTTCTCTGGGTAATAGTTTTTATTTTTCTGTCTGCATTTTTGCTTGGCTTCTCTTTAGACCTTCAACAGCAGCCATTTGCTTTGCTAGAGCATACAAGTTCAGTAGCAATTGGATTTTTTTATCCTGAGCTCAATATTATTGAGGGTATTAAATGTTCTCAGCAAAGGGAGATCTCTCTCTTTGTGCAAGAGTTGTTAGGGTTTTTTAAAAAACCACCTCTTGCACACACAAAGAGAAAATAGTGAAATATGCCTTGGGTTTTACAGTGGAAGGCCTAGTCATTCCCTGCTCTGCTGCCCAGTGGCAGTAAGGGTGATTTGAAGAGGCAATGACATGTCATTTCTAATGCAGACTGTGTAATTGGACCTCTGAATTCAGAATTTTGGATTCTAGGTAACTACTTATATGTTATTTTAAAGCAGGAAGAGAAATTCTAAAATGTCTAATGGTAAAAGTTAAATGTTAACGTAGGTAGACAAAGGATTCTTACATGCTGTGAAAAACTTGAAACCAAAGCTGCTTCAGCTATTGAAAAATCGCTGGATTGGCGCCAAAGGTGTCTTGCACCAGAGAAAGCTGTACATCACAGGCTCTCTGAATTATGTTAGTGATGCAAATTCCTGTAGATGTGATTTTGGTGGGCTTGACAGTGGGCAAGAAGAGTCTTCTCCCACCCCTGCCCTCCTTTCTGTAAGAACGAGTTCTGCAATTGCTTCTTGGATGCCTACCACTTTTTACAGCCTGGCTTTTAGTGGCACAATCTTATCTTTTGACTGTCGTGTATCATCACTAAAATATGTATCTGTCAGAAAGTATCCCTAAAAATCTATAATGATATTTTGTATGGATTCCAATTCATTTGCTATTATGATATTAAGTTTAATGTTAATATTTATGAGTATCTCTCACGAGTTCTGCTCCTAGATCTATTAATTAAAAAAACCCTGTATTTTGTGATATTTATTCATCTTAATTCTAAATCTTGCCCTCCTGAGCTTGTGGGCTGCAAGTCAGTCGATGTCAGGTAAGGGCATAGTTCTGGAATTTGAATCCAATAAATTTGTAATGCACAATTAAATGAACACAACTTTTAAACTTATTGGTAACTGTGAATGTTGCTAAAATTGTTCAAAAATATTTTATTGAAATATTCACATTATAATATGAAGCATTTTCCAGAAAGGCTACCATTCTTAAAGCAATTAGTAGTAAAATAGTCAAAATGTTTTGAAATAATAACAAATGACAAACAGCTGTGTAGCAATGGGCATTTGATTTTGATAGGTATCACCTGCAATATGCAATCAGCAATCGATCAAACTCTGCATCTAGAAAATGCATATAGGGCAAGATAAGCTAAAAATCTTGCATATAATGCTGTTTTGCTCACTGTTCTATGCAAGTCTTTGTGGCATTCCATGTGTGAATCCAAAACTTACCTCCAGAAAACAAAATTTGTAATTTTGAGTAGAAATTCTACTTTTGGCAAACTTAAGATAGAACCATTTTGGGTTGGGCTGACATGGTAAGCTGCTAAGTTTAATTAAATCTGCATTGGCAGATATAAAATGACGAGTGCTCATTAACCAAGCTTTTTAACTTAGATTGTTATATCTTACTGTCTATAATTAGGAATGCATGGGATGCAAATATTGATTAAAATGCTCAATTTGAGTGTTTGTATTTAAAAACTGATATAAACTTCGCTTTTTCTAAAAAAAAAAAAACCTATTACAGCACTTTAAAAGAACAGTGAAAACTTTACATAGCTACTTATCTACTTGGGTTGCATTTAAAACAATTGATTCTAGGAAATCTAAATATGGAAAGATAATACTGGAATATATAGGCAAGTTATATGCAGATCAGTGCCATCATTTTTGCTCTTTTCTGTACTCATTCTTCATGGAGCATGTGGTTAATAAATTTCAGCTTATGCTTTGTAAATTAAAATGTCTCATTTTTATTTTATGAGTATGATAAACCTGATTTGCCTTCAATCACTGTTTATGGAAGAAGTAGTAGGTGTGCTACTGTATGATGCTCCTGTAGCTTAAATTCTAATTACTACCAAACTGTTCTGTATTCTAGAATCACTGTTACATATATACATACAGCTGTGAACTGAAACTGCCACTTTTTTTAGACTTGAATTTATCAGGCTGATCTGAGGAGGTTTTAGGAACTGATGTAGAAGGGGAAAAACCACTTTGATTCAGAAAGTTAATTTTTTAATGAAATGCATTCTACTTGTATCTGATTTGACGTTTTGTATTTAAAAAGCTGTATTTATTTGTCATGACAATTTATATATATGTGCCATAATTGTACAGATAGCATGTTTTATGGGTATGGTTTCTAAATGGAAAATAACTTAATGTTTATATTCAATAAAATGATAGATGCGTAACTGGCTTTCCTGGGACTCATTTGCCTTCAGAAATTGAATTGATCACAGTTTCAATGGAGGTCTGTATCCCAACCATATGCAAGAGACTTCTGAAACCTTGCGGAGCATCTGATGCAAATTTGTCAGCTAGAGTGCCTATAAGAGGAGATGAAATAGAGAGTTAAAATTTATTTCAAGTACAAATTATCTAACCTTGGAATTTCAAACCACTGCTTTCTTCCTTGTCAGCAATTGGTGTCAGAAATTGTGTTGAAAAAAGCCTAACTGCTGCCCAGATCTTAATGGATGCAGAGCTATATCTACATGGAGATGCTCATCCATGTCAGAGTTGTCCTAAAGGTGCTTTTTCAAAAGGCAATTGAAATTTTTGTTTTTTCCTTGAAGACTTTTCACTTCTCATCTAAGAAAGATAAAGGTCACTCTTTTGAATACAGCAAAGTCCACATTCTTGACAGAGACGACCACTGGTTTGAAAGAGGGGTCAAAGAGACCGTCCGTGTTAAAATTGAACAGCCCTCACTCAACAGCAGGCAAGAGATAGACACCACCTATCTCCTGTTTATAACACAGTCCTTTCAACAGCTCCAAGAAAATTCCACAACCATTTGCACTCTGATTCAAGTGACCCTGAAGGAACAGATAAACCAAGTGACCTTGATGACTCTCAGAGAGAGCGCTAATGATCTGATGACTGCAAGGAATATCAAACCTTTCATTCCCCCCCACCATTCAGTTAGAAATAAAGAAGCTTGTGCATAAGAAGCGAAACATCCTCAAGAAAAAAACAAAGTCCAGTTGCCTTTTGAAAAAGCATTTTTGAGACACGCAGAGCTATACTCTAACTGAGAGGTCTCATGAAAATTGCTGCCTCTGGCTTGACAAGAATGAAAATGTTCAAACCACTGGGACTATTTTATATCTTTTTGTATCTTTGGAGTTTTTCCAAAAGGAGAGACTGCTGAGTGGCAGTCAACAATGTAAACATAGTAAGAAGATTGTCAAAATAAAAACAAAACTGAAGAAGATGGTTGTGACAAAGTTTTACCTTGTAGTGGTATTTTGTTCAAAAGATCCAAAACTGGTATAACATTTCCTTTTTCATCTACCTGTATCTTCCAAACAATCATTAATTCAAATCTATAAAAGTCAGAAAGCATAATTAAAACAAGTGCATACAGATAGAGAGGGACATACTCTCACAAAGTAGAGAAAATTAGCTGCATAAAAGACTCTATTTTAAATACTCTCATCTCATGCAAAGGCAATTTGGAACTTGGTAGTACAAAATATAGTGGAACCGTTTTCTGGTGGATGAAAACCTGAAAATTGTTGAAAACGGACAGTTCCCCAATTAGATTTGGTGCAGCCATATTGGCTATTTCTGATTTCCCTTGGGTTTTTTTTCCTAATAAAGTTGTAACTAAAAGACAACTAGAAAGAAATTGTGTGAAGGAGATTGGTATCTGTGTCAGTACAAAAACTCTGCATACTCAACAAAATTGGACCAAATTTGAGGATTGGGTGAGACCAGGGGCTCTGGAGAAAAATATTTTCTCCCAATTCTCCCTATGAGAGAGGCAGTTGGGCAGGGGTTCAGAATGTTGCCATCCAAGTCCCCTTGTCATATGAACAGAGTAGCAAGAAAGCGACTCTGTCTTATCCTGAACTTCCTAAGATTCACATAGATACAACATAGACCCCTTGGGGAAAGAAAAGAATCCAAAAGTTATGCCATGGATCCTTTCCCTACCTTGCTTTATTTGGATTGCTTTAGTTTCATTATTTTTTTAGAACTCCCATCTATGTTGAGCTCTATTTCCCATTTGCTTGTCCTGCCATGGAATTATTTATTTCTTTTTATTAAAATAAACTGTTTGTATTTATTTTTTGTGAATATTTTTACTGCTTTACTGTTTTTAATAGTTCTTTAATTTTAGAATAAGTAAGCTGTCCAGAGTCACTTGTTTGAGTCAGGTGGCTATAGAAATTGAATAAATATAGTTTCTCTTAATATCCAAGATATAATCTTTCCTATTAAATGATACCAAATCAAGGATAGTTGCTACTCTTATTGAATTCTTTCATGCTTTAAGAAGAAATAGGAATTTCTGGAAGGGCTTGGAAAAATGGTCTCTTTACAGATGCTGTAATAAAACCCATCATCATTACTATTTCCTTTTCAAAAGGATCTATAAGTTGTATTTAGAGAGCAGCTTCTATATGTCCTAGATTGGGTGGACAGTAGTAGACACCAACAGTATTTTAAACCAAATGATCTCTATGGTATTATCAAGTTATATTAAAGACGAGGGTGTCAAACTATTTTCCAAAGCACTAAAAGGCAAGACAAGAAACAATGGTTAGAAACTAACCAAGGAGAGAAGCAACCTAGAAGCTGACTTTGTATAAAAAAGAACACCGCTTAGGGGGGCCCGAAAGCCCTACTAAGCTGGTATATACAAAAGTATGAAGGCTATTGCTTAACGCATTGTAAGCCGCCCTGAGTCTCCGGAGAAGGGGCAGCATATAAATCGAACCAATAAATAAATAAATAAATAGAACTAAGGAGAAATTTCTAACAGTAAGAGCAATTAACCAGTGGAATAGCTTGCTTGCAGAAGTTGTAGGCGCTCTTTTACTGAAAGCTTTCAAAAAGAGACTGGACAACCAATTGTCTGAAATGATATAAGGTCTCCTACTCGAGCAGGACCAGAAGACCTCTGACGTCCCTTCCAACTCTTTATGTTCTATGTTCTAAGTTTATTGTTTTGGATGTTTTAGATAGTGTAGATATTTTGGTATATAGAGTGCTTTTCTCTCTTGTGTTGATTTCTTTTCAGCATCTTAAAAAAGTATAGTTTTTTAAAAAAATAATTCAAAATGTTTGGGAGAGGTTTATTTTGAATTTATTTTTTATTGGGGGGGGGAAATATTACATTTTCCCCCATGACTTTTCAATATTTTAAGCTATACTACGGTTGATAAATACGAGATCTGAAATGTGCTTCTTTATGGTTTGTAAAAGAACCTGGTTTTCAGCAAGGTTCACAATTATTCTCGCTTTCCCTTCAGTACATTGCTTTAATATCCTTGGGGTCTTTGAAAGAGAAAAATATGGCTACTGCTATTATGCCCCTGCACCACAGCTTCTATAGATATCTGTCCCCACGGATCAATATGAATCAGTTAAGTTGCCTTACTCGGGAAGTTGAGTGCTTCTTAAGACCATGTAATCTCCATGTAATCCTTCAGGAAGTGCTACAACATCTGGATACTTATTCTATAAAAAATAAAAGATAAATGGTATATTTTATACAGTGGTCAAATATAAACCAGACACTACAAAAAGTGCAACTTTTATAAGACATGCAGCTAATTAGTTTATGTACAACAGAGGTAATTGACTCTTGAGGACCACATAGATAAAGCTCCATGACACATTCTAGTTAACATTGTAATAAAATTAATAGGATATGAGTGATAGATGGCCAACTGTAATGACTGAGTCTGTTATTTTAGATATATGAACGTTTTGCTTCTTTCAGAAAAAAAAGTATGAAATAAATGTGAGATTTGAATAAAAAAAATTCTAGTGAATGTTCTATTTTATAACAGAAGTACAGGAAGAAAGAGGGGCGTGATGGCTCAATGGTTAAAGATGAAAGCTGACAGCTCAGGTTCAAGACCCGAGCACTGCACAACAGACTGAACTCCTGTTTCTGCCATAGTTGCTGCCCACCTAGAGTTCAATAGCATGCAAATGTGACTAGATAAATAGGTACCATTTCGATGGGAAGGCAACAGCATTCTGTGCGCCTTTTGGTGCATAATCTTGCTGGCCACAGGACTATGGAAAATGTCTTATGACAGCACTGGGTCCCTCAGCCAAGAAATGGAAATGAGCGCCATGCCTAAGAGTCAGACATGCCTGGACAGGAAAAGTTTTATTTTTTACAGGAAGAAAGCTTGGGGGCTGCTCTGAGAACTTAAAGAGGGTAACTCAAACAGGCATACTAGTGAAAATAAAGTGGTTCCTATTAGGTAACCCAAAAGGTGAAATTGGGTTTTGATCATTAGATCATAATTCTTACAATCTTGCTATGAAGAGATAAGATAGCTATAAATTAATATTAAAGAATATATGAGGTACTGGTATACAAGACAATTTGACTGTTTTAATATTCAAAACCTTCAATCAACAAGCTAACACAGTCTTAAGAAATTAATATCTAAAGGCTAAGCAATGAAGAAATTGTCAGTGAGCACATCTTAACAAGCTGAGTATCTCCAGGGTCAGAATCAACCCGATGTCAGCACTTCAATCTGCATTTACTCTAATGCTGACATAAGAAGGAGAGGCGAGGCATCTGGAAAGGGATGTTTGACTTTTCACCTACTTATTTTCCCTGAAGATAATATCCCCTAGGAGATGGGATGGGAGGTGGGAAATTCCTTTGAGCTGGAGCGGTAGATTAGGGGTAGAATGACTTGGAAGATGGCCAATGAGTGCAGGAGAGTGGGGAACGGAAAGGGAGGGTTTTGGGTCTGGAAGTCAGTGTTGGCTTCGATGGAGCTGGCTGTAGAATGTCGTGCTTAATAAATAGGAGTTTTCCTTCAAAGACTTTGTTTGAAATGCAATTTATTTGAGACGACCTCGAAGCCTGACACCCAATACATTAGATATTGTAGGGAACAGTGTTTTTTGATCTCTTCTAGGAAGAGATCAAATTAAGTTTTAATTATCCTGCATATGTTATAGATTGCCAAGAGTCGTGGGCTTACAACAAAGTACAAGTTTAAGGAATGGATGGATGGATAATAACACAAAGGAAATGGCATGCAGCATGGCAGCTTTTGTATTAAAATAATTGCAAGGGGGAAAAGACAACCAGATAGGAACACCAGAGAAAGAAGGAAGCTGGCAATGGAACTGATAAATTTTTAAGTTTAATGGAGCATAGACAGAATTCCCCTTAAAAGCATAGCAGTAAAATAAATAA